TTTATTTTTATATACAATTATATACATTAATTAATAAAATATTCTTTATTTTATGTTTTTTTTTTTAGATCATTCTCCGGGTATTCTTACAAAGCCAACTTTAGCTTTGACATTTGTGAAAATTATTATAAAATTTGACGATTGATGAAAATGTTCATGTTATGGTTTATGTTGGATTGAGATATCTTCTTTAAGTTTACCCGTCTGCTTCCAACGGTATGTATACCAGATTAATCTATAGACTTTAAACTTTCATTTGATATAAGTCACTCTAGGTATAGATTCGTTTTTCTCTATATACTGAGTACTAACAAGTGTCGATCTCGTGCATTTTATGAAAATTTATTCTGTACTTGAGAATAAAATTAAAAGATTATTATTTTTATACTATGTAATATCATTGATCATTACTAGTTTTATATTCAGAATATCCATATTAACAATTTTATACAAATTTGGTGTTGCTATATTAATAATTAAAATTTTTATACTTACGACTTTAAGTTTGGTCAGGCAATATTTTCATGAGTTTTTTCTACATGAACATTTCAAATTCGATACAACACATATACTATTTAAAAAATGTAGATTTGAGACATTCTTTTTACAATATCTCTCCTAATTTGAAAGTTCATCAGTTACAGAACACATTGTAAAGCGTCTTATTACTTTCAACACTGTATATCCTAATTAATCATTTATGAGTGGTTTATTTTTGCACTCAATATTTAGTTAATTAAAAAACCAAGTCCGAGTAAAAAATGACTCAATAATAGTTCAATTTAAATCATATTAGAGAAAAAGTTAACTCTAAATTGGTTTTATATGCCTACTCAGAATAGAGTCAAAAGTTACTCATTTCTGATGCAATAGTTTCACTCAGTTGTACTCATACTAATAGAGTGAAAATTTCACTCAATCAGGTATTGAATAAAATTGAGTGAAATTTGAGTGAAATTTTTTTACAGTGTAGCGCACACTGAATGAAGTTGAAAATATTATGAAAATGGACACAGGGGCAATAAAACTGGTATTAGTATCTTATTAATTTTATTTTACACATATATTTTTAGGAAATTTAAAAAACATCATTTTTACAATAACAAAATAAATATTTGCACTTTCATTTCGTAGAAATAATCAAAAATTGGAAACAAAAAAATAATAACAGATACATATTTACAATTAACCAAATACGCAGGTGGAAAACAAGTAAAAATTTCGTGGTTACTGATAAATAAAATGCGAATACAAACAAATACTGAGTAAATGATGGAATTTCCCACAAGGGCTTTCGATAAAAATATACGTAGCTTTAGAAAAAGTTATACTGTGCGTAAGAATCTGTCATTCGTATACTTAGTTCTCGCTTCGAAGAGGAGCTTTGGTGAGGACGCGCACTTTCTCGCCACTAAATTGCTTTGTATGTACTAGTTATGTACAATAATATGATCCTACACAAGAAATTTGCACTATGATATGATAAATTTACAAAATATACCGATAATGGGTTGTCGTTGTGTAACCTATTGCGTTACTTTACATATTTGTACAACTTTTAACCTATTTACAATTTATATTACAAAACTATAAGGTCTGTCGAATTAATTTAGAAATCCCAGCTGAAAAGCGATATGTATTTTTAGTATAATATAGATATGCTTATCATTATATATACGATCTAATGTCCGTACAGAAATATTTTATAGACAAGTGTAAAATATCTTTGTCAAACGGTTTTTTTATGTAACTATGATTATTTATTTCATAAGTGTGATCACAGTTTAGTAGGTATGGGGTGGGATGTAAATTATAAAAATTTTTTTTGTAAGAAATGCCTAAAATGTATCGCAAGGTTATACCCTTTCTAAAACTCGAAAATACCAGTTTGAAACAGTTAGAGCTGCAGAACTGTTGTGTTCAAGCAATTAAATACGTAAAATACATTGAATCTTTTTTCGGGTAATTTTTAAAATATTGGAATTGGAAAAGAAAAAACATTCACTAATACTTCCAGTGTGTAACTTAAGTGGAGGACAGTTTTTTACGTGTTCTCCTGAATACAAATCTGAAATTACTTTTTTTAAAATCAGATAAATAGGCGAGCACTTTAATTTTCGTGTACGCCGCCACTGGCCCGCATAAATCTGAGCACTCGAAATTTACGTATTTGTACACTATCAACGTTGCCAGCTGTTTTTAAATCAACTTACATTGAGGCTACACTGAAAAATGATATTTTCTATAACTAAGCGACGTGTTATTTTAAAGTCATCAGAAGCAAAGAAGACGATATGAGATAAATTACGCCGGCGACTTATTATAATAAGGACATGTTTGTCAGATTGGTTCAACATTGTAGAACGCTCACCCTGTAATATTCATGTATTTGTATATTTGTGGATGGGTACAATATAAAAATGTGTGTTGACAACTGACAGTGCACGTGGTTAAAGCAGGGAGATAGTGCGTGTCGTTGGTGACGAAGCGAAGAGAGTTAGTGGTTGCCTGGCTCTTGGAGCTCGAATTTGAACTTTTTTCATCGCTGGAAGTCTTCAACAGATTGCGGTGGTATAGCTACTATCCTGTAGGCAAGTCTGTTATCTAATTAGCGACCATTATTCAGAGGGAAGCGACGACGAAGGTACCGCAAGCTACAGGCAACCATTTTATTTCTTATCGAGTGTCAACGGTTAGAAGTTACATTAAAGTCATTCAAACAAAAAACAATTTGTTATTAAATTCCGAACTAACGCCGCTTGCTGAGGTCTATCCAGCTGAAGGTGGCAGGTTACAACATTTACCTTTGACTGGTAATACTAATGTTGGACGGGAACAAATTCAAAGAATGAGAAATTAGGAATCTAAATTTTAAACTCAACAAAGGTACGGCGCCAAAGAGCAGTACCTCACTTCGAAGGGTGTGGAAATTTGTTTTTTTTTAATAACCTTTCCTTTAATTATGAAATTTGACAACAATGCACAGCCCATTTCCCAATTCTGCATGCGCTGCGATTAAAGCGCGCCGTTGTATGACAACTACTAAAAAAGATTAAAAACACAGTTTTCACGATGCAGTTTGAAAAAATAAACTTCTAAAGGTCAAATGTAACCTCTGTATAAATCCCCCACTCAAAGCTACAGCCTGTATAAACACTACGAAAAAAAATTCTTCGATACTTCGAAAGTAAAACGTTTTGATAGAAATTTTGGGTTCTTTTCCATTTCCCACTTGAGAAAAACTATGTTCCATTTTTGGAAAGATACATTTTATGACATCTTGTACAGTCAGTATACAGCAGGTAACTTATTTAATATATATTAGGGTTTGTGCATTGTTTGACGATTACAAAAGAATGAATTCAATTATTTGAAAATCAATTTTAACCTTTCGCAGATCAAATTGAACCTATTGCAGTCCAAATTCAGTTTGTTGGAATTAAAACACGATTTTAATATTTTACGAAAATACAAATTTGACTTTTCCTAATGCTGCCTAAATAAAAGTGGAATATCATATTTTGTTTCTCTTTTCATTGTTTTTATTTATTTATTTATTTTTTATTTATCTCTTTTTTATTTAATTTATTTCATATTATTTTATTTTATAATAGCCAAAGGGCAACTGCTCAATTACAGTTACCAGAGAAAAAATAGCACAAGGAACAGTATTTAACTGTAACAACCACAATTTGAATAAAATAGTAATGTAAACCTATATATAAAAATATTTATGGGTGAAGTGTCGGTCTTGTTCAAACGCAACTTAATTGAAAATTTGACTCTGCATTATTTCAATACATACAAACTGATCTACAAAGTATCTAGATTTTGAAACTTTTGATAAGTATGATTATTATGAACGAAAAACCTAATATTTTATAAGCGTTTTTTCAGTATATTTTCGCAATGTTTAGCATAATAAAGCTTAAGATCGAAAAATATCCCAAAATTTCCTGTTTACCAATTTTTTTTACTACCTAATATATAATATTGAACCTTTACAAGGCATCATTTTTAATGTTTAGAAAATTTGATATTTTTAATTTCGTGTTAAACTTGTTGGAAGTGAATTTGTTATTATTATTTACCATCTTTTTTCGAAATAGAAAGGAGTGTTGGGTCGAACCGATTTTAATGAAATTTGGTGTGTTGTTTTATTATACTCTAAAGTTTTTTTTACCAAAATTAGAATGCCCTCGGAGCAATTAAAATATTTTAAAAAAATTATCCAAAAGACTTGATTATTTTGCCTTTTTTCATTAATTATTGCTATTTTGCAACATCGGTAATAAATTTAAACATTTTTAACTTACAGTAGATTGTGCAAAATTTACTTCTAAAACTTTATTCCTCTTCAATATTCTTCCAAAATGCATAGGTTCCAAGATATAAGTAAAAAACTCGGATAAAGGTATTTTTTAAAAATGTTTTTAAACATTTTTGTAGTTTTGAAAATGTTCCGGACCTCTCCCATATCTAGGGATCAATACTTTTATTATGTGAGTTGTATTGAAGGTATACCAGCAAAAATTCGCTTGTCCCCTTTTACATCCAAGAAGTGGAACATTTCGACAGATCTGTCCTGGTCTAGTATCCAAGTTTAGTGTTGAAAGAAATTGTTCCAGTTTTTGAAAAGCATTAGGCCCATGGTTTAGTCCAAAATGTACGAATTTGATTTGCAAATCTTTGATATTAAGTTCAGTTTGAGTTAGCGGATGAATTTGGTCTGAAAGGCTGAAAAAGGAGTGCCGAACTGCAAGGAAAAACCATCTGTCTTAGGCTTTGGAAAGATGTACATGTCGTCAAACAATATACTCTGAATTGTGCACAGAACTGTCCGAAATCTAACGCGCTTAGAGCCTTAAACTAACTAAGTCTTTGGTACCGGCCGCTCGGAGTTACTCGGAGTAGATCGCACTGTTACGTGAAGGCGACCCGTCGCCGCTGCTAGGGCTGCGTTCACAGGCCTCCGGCTACTTGGTGGAGCCCCCCACCAGAGCCGTAGATCCGTAAGTCTGGGCGTTGCAGGTGGGCAGAGCGAAGGGGTTCATCGAGGCGAAAGGTGAAGAGACCAAACTCATTCCTGGAACAAGGGAAATAGAAATAAGTGGCCTTGTAGTAGAATTGGTTACCGGTAATATATAGAACGTCGTTGCATCTATGAATGGATACATTAATATAATAATAATTCCTATGAACAAAACGGAATGCAACAAAAACCTACAATCTCAAGACTATGTCAGACATAGGCTGTTTTCGGACGCGGAAAGATGTAGCGTCACTAGTTTCAGTCTCTCAATCAGGACTACAGTTACTATAAAAACTAGCAAAACAAAAATAAATAAAGTGATCCGTTGTTGTCTCAATACGTTGTGAACTACGATGGAGCAAAGACTCAGAATTCTGTTATTGGCATTTGATTTAAGTCGAACAAGAATTAAACAAAAGGAGGATCATAGCAAATAACAAAATTCTGGAGACACCTTTTGTTACGAGTAAGCCACGTAAATAGTGCTCAACATCACTGAAGGGTTTTTGGGATCGCTGATTCCGATGCCGAGGTCGGCTAAGCTCTGTCATGTCAGGTTCAAGGTCAGTTGAAGGTCAGACACCTTGATAACTTTGTTCAAACTCATTCAGGTCCTGGTGCATTCTTTCTCCTTATTCTTCACTAAAAGCTCTGGGAACCAATCAAGATAAGAATGAAGAAAATGAAGTTTCAGATTTATATGACATTTACACAGAGAGTGGCAGAAAAAACAGACAGAGAGGAACATTTAGTCATTTAGTCAGACAGGAAGATAGACAGAATTACCCACAGAAAGGCAGGTAGAAAAGCAGGATGTCAAGTAGATGGATAGAGAGAAAATACAGGCGGAAAATAAATACAGACTATCAAGCAAACAAACAGGTGTGCAGGTGAAAAGTCAGACAGATAAACAGACAAAACTAGGCAGGTGAGTATTCGTAAGAATTTTTTATAACTTTTTTCATCTCCTATTCTTACTTTATCCTTCAAATGACCTTGAATATGAGGTGATAGAGGTCAACCGACATCGGAATCAACGACCCCAAAAACCCCTGGGTACTTAGGTAGGATTTGGTGTTTTATTCGAACTAAATGTTGACCTGTGTATTTAAATGATGGTAGATAATTTTTTTTCTGGCCATCTTCCACGATTTTAATGACATTGCTAAACTGGCAGTAATCAAATTGCCACTGTTTGTGTCAACTCGTCTAAAGACACTCATAGAACTGTATTGGCGGGAGTAAACGCGACTATAGAAAGCGTAGAAGCTGGTCATTTAAAAGCATGTATTTTTGATGGTCCGCAAAATCGCGATCATTGCCATCAGGATATTGCCCTGTCTGAAAACGGCCTTAGTCCCTGTACAGACAAGATTGCACGGTGGTTCGGCAAACCGCAAGCCGTAGAATGTAGATGGTGTGTTATGGTTTGTGATTCTTGGTTCGTGGTTCGAGAAATCTTACAAGATTCGTATAGATTTATGAACCACGTACCGTCTATCTAATTGCGTTTTTAAATCTATGCGAACCTTTAAAAACTTTTTGATTTACCAGTAGAACTTTTGAATCACAGACTAAGAATCGCGAGCTATAACAGATCATCTATAGATATAAATCGTTTGTGGTTTCCCAAATCACGTGCCATATAACTGCATTTTAGTTACTGACAGTCAGTGACACATATATACTAAGAACCGTGGAATATAGTGAACCGCTTATTATTTGAAATGGGTTCGTGATTAGCGGTTTGGCAAGCCATGTGTTTGTGTAAATGCGTTTTATGACCGATCATACGCTGACACTACATGTCTTAGATATACTTTTTTTAACAAGTTTTTTAATGAAACACATGTATACAACGTGATGATAAAGGTTGCAACAAAGTTCATAACTTTTATTATTATTTAAAAAAAAAACGCCGAGTCATGTCGATTTGGTTCTCGGGAGGGGCATCTTTTAAGATGATTCAGTTGTATACAGGGTGACCCAGAAAGGCTGGATGGTCAATAAATTTTATATTTTTCATATTCGGATAAAGCTTTGTCTTACCAATACAGTGATGTAAGGTTTGATGGGTCTATCCCAAATAACAAGCGAGATATTGCGAGAAAATTACATTCATTTCAAAAAATTATTTAATGTCATTTTCATACATAAAAGAAATTGTACTTGGAAACTAAACAAATGTAAATAATTAACGAAATTTAACGTAAATTTTCAAATTGTTCTCCATCACACTACGCTCAATAATTTCTGCTGCTTCTTTCCATTTCAGCATGAATTCTCAGTTGTAAGTCTACTAAATTGTTTGGTCGTATGAGGTATACCCTAAAGTTTAAATAACCACATAGAAAAAGATCCAGAGGAGTCAAGTCGGGGTAACGCGGGGGCCACTGAAGAGATCCTCTGCTCCCTATCCAGTTTTCAGGAAATGTATCATCAAGATATTGCCGAACGTCTAAGCCAAAGTGAGGTGGAGCTCCATCTTGTTGAAACCAAATATTTTTATGGGGTATATCGCCGTCTGCAGCGTTGAGGAAAAGATCTACTACAGCCGGCACCATCTCAAAACTCAGAAAATCTAAATATCTAGCAGCAGTGAGGTTTTCTTCAAAAAAGTAAGGACCAAAAAATTGTCTTCCTATGATTCCCACCCATACATCTAATTTGCCTTTACGCTGATTGGAATTCTTGCGCCCAATGGGGATTGTCATTTGACCAATATCTACAATTATGGCGAAGTACTGAGCGATTTAAACAAAATGTGACCTCGTCAGAAAAAAATATGTTGCTTAGAAAGTTTGGATTTTCATTACACCGTAACATTAATTGTTGACAAAAGTGCAACCGGCGGTCTGGGTCATCCTCATTTAATACGTGTATCAGCTGGACTTTATATCCATGATACTTTTCTGTAGGAAGCAACTTTACAACATGTAATTGGTCCACATTGTTGTTTAGGGCTAGTTGTCTTGTTGACTGATGGGGATTTTTTTCAATTTCCAGAAATACATTTAACTTCTTAAGATCCACTTCTTATTTGTAGAAGGGTGAAATGGGCGGTGACTATTAGACGCCTTCATTATAGCCATCTTTCTCTATCGCACGGATTTCTATGACTTACTTTATTGCTCTCACGTAACGGCCGATGAACCATGGGGACTTTCCGACCCTGTATATCCAACCATGATTAAGATCTCTAGTCTTTCACGTTCAGTTAAATGTGCCATTCCTTCTAAGCTCAAAAAATTCAATGATAAATTTGCGAAGTTTATTAAGGTTATAATAACGTACAAAGTGAAAATGTCACGTTACAACAGTGGTGTTTTTGTTTCTAAGCAACGACCAAAAACCGAAATTTAATAATTTTTATCAGTGACCTAAGTGTCAACAAAAAGAAACCTAACTTTTATTGCTGAACTTGCACATTTTTTTCGTTTTTTTTTTCGTTAATTATTGGCATTTGTTTCGTTTCCAAGTACAATTTCTTTTATGAAAAATGACATTCAATAATTTTTTGGAATAAATGTAATTTTCTCGCAATATCTCGCTTGTAATTTGAGATAGACCCATCAAACTTTACATCACTGTATTCGTAAGAGAAAGCTTTATCCGAATATGAAAAAATATACAGGGTGTTCCATAAGAAAAAACAAATTTATTGGCCATCTAGCTTTTCTGGGTCACCATGTATACCTGTGATCGGTCTTGCCATACAAAAATGTTCTAAATGAAACTGTATAGAACAAAATTTGGTGACAATAATGATATTTAAGGTATGTTGTCCCAGAACAGAATAGCTCGAACTTACAGAATAGAAAACACAAATTAAACAAATACTAATACTACTAGTACTAATTTATATTAACTATATACTTCGCTAATAACTAGAATCAATAATATTAAACAAAACAAACAACAAATATTAGTATAACAATTTCAAATATCGTTATACAGTGTAACCCAGTATTTTAGAAATCTGGTGTAGTCATATTTCTAGTGTGATTGTCTTTTGTCTGGTCACTAACAAAATACGCGACTACGAAATACAAAACTGTAAAGGAAAGAAGAGAAATCAGAAGAACATATACTAACTAAAAAAAAACGTCAAACTGAAAACAATATACTAACACTGCACGGCTAAATGATGCCACCCCGTAATAGGCTGGTGGTGGAAGAGCGCTGGCGCAGGGGTGTGAGTTTGTGGTGAATCACCCCCGCGTACGACGGGTGCGAAAGCACTCTTTTCCTTGTCAGGGGGTGCACCTTTTGCGTAGCTTGCGCTGAAATGATACTGAGCGGCTTCAGGAGTAACTAAAATGTTAATAATTGTTCAAAATAATGTAAACAGGTGGACTAGCAAGCAGCATTGCTAATAAGGAATAAAAAATAAAGTAGATAATATATTTACTGACGCTTATGCCTAGAGGAGGGGTTAAATGTAGGAAAAAATCCAGTGATTGGAATCAGTCCCATTTGCTTACGAGGATATACCTGTAGATGCCTACTAGATTGAATACTTACTGATAATGGATTTATTTCGTCTAAACTAATTCATTAATAACGAATTTGATGTAAGTTTTGCTTACTGATCACTCATATTTTTGTAGTCTTTAAAAATTATATTATATGGAAACACTTTTTCGTGGCTATCTTGTTAAAAAGTATGTATAACTCTTTTGACTGTTGGAAATTCAATTTCGTTGTAGCAATAAAGATTGATCTCAACTGAAAAAATATTGCTCTTGAAAAATGTTGCTAACGGTGAATCCAACAAATTAAAATATTAACATATTTAAAATTTAAAATTAACGTATATTAATTATTTTATATTTGTTACTATACAGGGTGTCTCGGTACTTGATACAAAAAAGTCGAGTACAAATAGATGAGGTCAAAATAATATAAGTTCTTCATATATTTTTTTTCATATGAGCCTTCGTTAACAAGTTACGGGCCCTCAAAGGTGAAAATAAAAAAATTATTTTCATTTACCGTCTCTGAGCTATTAACTTCAGCATGACGCAAATTTGGTTACTTATAACACATGCGTACAGCTTGTTTTTGATGTTGCAAGTGAAACTTCATTATGCCCAGAACGTCAGAATTTTTGCATAGATGACGATCGCAATCTACCTGCATCAGAAATAAGTTCCCTGAAGAATTTGCCAACGATAATACCCTCTTGGTTCAACTCGATAAAATTAACAGTTTAGGAAATATTTGTGATTTTATGTCACAGTTCACATCGAACTGCGCCTCCATCATTTCTTGTTATGTTAGAACAGTACATGTTAAAATAAATTCCTAGAAAATCTTATCTACGGTCTGCTGTGTTTGACAAACATACTTTATACATAACATAAAATAGAAAAAAAACTAGAATAAGTTAAATTATCTAACTCCAAATATCGATGTCCATTCAGACGTTTATCAAAAATGTATAGGCCTATTAAATTATTACCCACTATTAATGTATGGGCAGGAATAGTGAATTTAATAGGTCCATACGTGTTTGAGTAACGTCAGAATGGACATCGATATTTGGAGTTTTTGCAAAATAATTTACTATTGGACGATGTTCCATTAGACACCCGAAGAAACGTTTGGTTCATGCACGATGGGGCTCCTCACCATTTCAGTGATGTACGAAATTATTTATCCATTGTGTTTAATAATAAATCAATTGAGACCTAATTTCATGGCCACCTCGTTCTCTAGACTTTATCCCGATCGACTTCTTCCTGTCGGGATACCTGAAAAGTTTAGTGTACTCAACCCCAGTACATTGCTATAAAGAATTAATTTCCATTGTGATAATATGAGACCTACCCCAGAAATGCTTTTTTGTGTACAGGCTGGTCCATTTTCGATGGGATTTCAAGGTATCTCAGAAACTACTCAAGATATGATAAATCTGACACCACGTTCTCTAGCTCGATTTTCATGGCAAACTCGACTGCCAAATCAGAAATTTGCTATCTTCATTTGTTTCTGAGTTACAGGGTGTTTCTCGTTATTGTGACACTTTTGGACATGTGTCTATCTCAGCTGTTAAATAAGTTAGAGTTAAAGTGAAAACTGCTCAAGACTAATTTTTTGGCGTAGAATTGAATGCCGGTATTCGATTTTTAGTAGGTCTTAAGATTCCGGAGTTATGAACCAAAGTTATAATTTTTTAAATGAAAATCGTAGCTGGTTATGACCTAAAAAAATGGAGATTTTTTTTTTGCTTTAAGTTAAGTAAACATAACTCTTAAAATTACATTAATTCGAGGTTTCCTTGATTATTAGCAACGCAATAACGTCGTAAGTACACATATCCCAGCTAAATAGAATTTAACCTAGACGGCAGCAATTATAAAAAGCAATATGTCAACTTAACCCCTTTTGTTATTACCAAACAAATTCATAAAACATTGAAGTGTTAAGGTTAAGTGCACTTAATACAGTCTGTTATTTTCACTGGATGTGCGCAATACAGTGCAATAACAACATTGTGTTGTGTAGTAAAGTGCCTAGTATAAAGAAAAACAATGGATATCAATAGTCGTGGATATACTTTACTCAATAAGTGTATAAATGTTGATGTGATCGATGATAAACGTAAGTTTGAATATAATGGAGTAACATAACCTCAGAAAAAATATGTTTTATTGTGATGTACAAAACTATTATTTTTACCAATCATTAAAATTATTAATAAATAGGTATGTTACTACTATATCACTTGGGTATGTCTACTTATAGCTAATTAGAATTTTGAGTATACCTGTCAACATAAAAAATTTAAAATCTCAAAACGGGTTAAGTCGACTTACAACCTTTGAGAATTTTAACAAAGTTGGATAAAGTAAGGTATTCAAGCATAAGTAATATATTTAATGGTTTTTCAAAAACTAATGGCCAGATGCAGTCTACTTCTGTGCATATTTTACATCAAATGACATTGGTCATCCTCAGAAGTACAAAACAGGAAAAAAGAGTTTAATCACTTTTTAGTGAAACAGTTTTATTTAGCTCCTCTAAAATATGAAATTTATACTTATCCCCTTTTTCCTTTTTGCCACAGATATACAGATAAGAAAAGATAGAGTTTTCAAATTTTTATTCCACTTCAACTGAAGTTACAATATTAAACGTAAATTAAACAATAGTAAGTACCTACATGAATAAAAACTTTTAAAAATGACAGCTAAATGTTCAAATTGCCGTTCCTCAACACACATTTCACGCATTTTCTGGCAACGCTTCGGGTAGCATTCATTAAATGTATAGGTATTTGAAATATTATTAAAAGGAATTTTAAATATAATGTCTTTTAGAAAACCCCAAAGGATAAAGTCCAACGGACTCAAGCCAGGTAACCTAGCTGACCATCTGATTGGTCCGTTTGTTCCATTTAAAATAAATGTTATATTTTTACAACAGATATGACTTTTGTAAAAGTAAGAGTTATAGTTTTATCTGTATTTTCATAGCCGGTCTACGATTTCCATTTCAAAAAAATATAACTTTGGGTCATAACTCCGAAATATTAAGATATACTAAAAATGTAATACCGGAATTCAATTCTACGCCAAAGAATTAGTCTTGAGCAGTTTTCACTTTAACTCTAACTTATTTAACAGCTGAGATACAGACATGTCCAAAAGTGTCACAATAACGAGAAACGCCCTGTAACTCAGAAACAAATGAAGATAGCAAATTTCTGAATTGACAGACAAGTTTGCCATGAAAATCGAGCTTGAGAACGTGGTGTCAGATTTATCATATCTTTAGTAGTTTCTGAGATACCCTGAAATCCCATCGAAAATGGACCAGCCTGTACAAACAAATAGCATTCTAGACTTGAGAAGTGTGTGGAGGTGGAAGATGTCCATATTGAAAATGTATTTTAATAGGTTCCTTTCTTTTAAATTATTTTTTTAACTTACTTTAACTTATTCTTGTTCTCTTTTCTATTTTGTCTTCTATTATATGTAAAGCGTGTTTGTCTAATTTTATTAGTGGAAATTACATTAGTAGACAGTAAGAATTTCTAGGATCTCATTTTAAAAATATGTCTAGTTCTAACATGGTAATTTTGTCCATTTAAAAAAGAAAAACAAAAAATGGTGGAGGCGCCGCTCGATATGCACTGTGACATAAAATACCAAATATTTCCTAAACTGTTAATTTTACCCGAGTTCAACCAAGAGGGTAATATCGTTGGCAAATTCTTTAGGGAACTTATTTTTGATACAGGCAGATTGCGATCGTCATCTATGCAAAAATTCTGGGTTGTTAACCATCGGGCATAGTCGGTTCCTGGCGTTCTGGGCATAATTAAGTTTCACTTACAACATCAATCACCAAATTTGCTGAAGTTAATAGTTTAGAGACTACAATAAAATTAACTTTTTAATTTTCACCTTTGAGGGCCCGTAACTTGTTAATGAAGGCCCGTATGAAAAAAATTTTATGAAGAACTGATATTATTTTGACTTCATCTAATCGTACTCGACTCGAATTTTTGTATCAAGTACCGAGACACCCTGTATATCATACGTTAAACATGTGTAGGTACTATAGTAGTATATCAAATAATCCGATATTTTTACAATTTTCTTTCTTTTTTGTAACTGTATGAATATTGGTTAATACTGACAATTGCTGTATTAGATGTAGGTATTTATTCCTGTAATTGAGTTTAATCCTGTTGGGATAATTAAACTTATTATTATTATTATTATTAATTTATACAATTCGTTAGAGGTTTCAGAAAATGTTTTCTAAAAAATCTTATTAAATAAAGTCAAACAATATCCTCGATGTTTAATCGATATAAATTTACAGTATCTTGTGGAGATTACAAAGCAACAAATAGCTAAATAATAAATAAAACTCTCCACTTTGGAATTACATGTACAGACGTGTCTCTATAGTTAATTATTATTTATGTACACAATATTTCCTTCAAATAAAATCACATGATTTCTGATAATTTAGAATAATCACCTTCACATTGTTCATCACATCATATAAGTCAGTTATTTTCTTAATGTTGCGCATGTATACCTTCATCTAATTTGAATTTACCGCCGTATCTGACGTCGGCGCAATAGGATCATTTCCTTTATTTACCCCCTCCTTAAAAGTACCTAAGCCTACGCTAAACTTACTTGGAGTGGTGTTGAAAATCCCCGCGGACGGCGAGCTGGGCAGCATATTGGAGATCTGCGAAGTACTCGTCGGCGTGGTCCCTCCGTACCCGTTCATGTTGCTGCCGTAGGAGCCGCCGTTGGAGGAGTGGGGGGTGGACGCATTCGAGCAGTAACCGCCTCCGCGCGGCGACACACTGCTGCTCTGCGTCCGACCGTAGTCCTCTAAAAGAAAAACCCTAAGGTAAAAACCTACTGTCAGTAAGACAACTCACTCGGGACCGTTTCATTCATTAACCTAAGATTTTATATCTAAAGGTGCATGCACACTAGGTCGAACGGCGGCGAACAAGACCGTATTGTCGGGGTCCTGATAAAGTGTCGCAATTGACGTTTGCATAATTTTAAAGCTGAAAGGAAAACTTCTTCCTTCATTTAACTCGTTGGACAGAACCACAGACAATATAGCTTCGTTCCAGACAGACACAGGAATAGGAGAGAACTTTTAAATTTCCGAATTGCATAGATATAGTACACCAACAGCATTTTAGAAAGATTTACAAACAACAGTTTGGCAATGTTGACACGCGTACGCACGGATTTATTTTTGCACTTTTTTATCAATGCCTATGTTTTGTGTTTAAATAAATAAATCGTAAATTTCTCGATAACTGTTGAATTTAGGACAGGGTACATGAAACAACATTTAGAATTCGGTGCAGTATTCAAAAATTAAATAAAAAATAGGTATTTCTATTTGAAAAATTAAAGTTGATTGTCGTAACTTATTTTTGGGCCACCCTGTATATATGAATTTACCATCAGAAAAATCGCAACCTAATATAAAAATCGACGTGTCCGAGCGTTTTTCCAAACAACAAACCTCTGAATTTTAAAGGAATTTGTTCCAACCCACGCGTCCTACTCTATAAAAACACAATATAATCAGTCTTGTAATAGCTGCCGAAATTATCAAATTAAGCTGACTAAAATGTGCACACCAACTTCTTGTCGGCCGATTATTGGATTGTTCTATCTTAGTTTTTGCCCAAACTGTAATTTTAGAGAGACCAAGTATTTTAAAACTAATTTATTCTATTTCTGAAAAAATCATCAATCCAAATGTATTCTCCAAAGTAAGTATTCATTGAATTCTCTAATGTAAATAGGTAAAAACAATTATAAAATCAATTATGACACTGAACTGATGAAGAGAAATGGGGATGGTATTGAGGTTGTTCCATAAGTTCTCGCGATTTTCTAGCTCTATAAAACCACAGACATTGTTTTTCTTTAAAACTTAATTTTAACTAAATTTCAGGAAATTGAAATATAAGTTCCAGGAGACAGAAAACTTCATTTTCGATACTAACTATAGCTGCGAGAACCACTAAAGATTGGTTTGCCAGGTTCAAAGATGACAATTTCGAGTTTGGTGACGCACCCCCCTTTGGTCGACCTTCTGAGTTAGAGGAGAACCATCTCAGGGTGCTTTTGAAATAGAATGACTGCCAAACATGTCGAAAATTGACTGAGAAGATCAACCTATGGGATTTGCTCAAAAACTCGGAACTTGGGTGCCGCACATGATAAGCGACGACAACAAAGAAAATTGTGGGACCAAAGCAGCTCAAAATTTCACCCGACATCGCGCAAGCAACGATTTCCGAATTGTCACCGAAGTTGAGAAGTGGTGTCTTTACGTCAATATGAAGCAAAGGAAGGAGATACCCCAAAGCCCGGAGTCAAACAAGTTGTCCATCCCAAGAAGACCATGATCTGTGTTTGGTGGTGGTGTACTGAGAAATGCTGGAGAAGAACAAAACAGCCGACAAGGAATGCTATCTCCCTCGGCTTCACAGTATGAACGAAGCAATTCAACAGAAAAGAGCCAATCACGGCAATGCGCGACCTCGTACAGCAAACATCGTCAAAGAGGCTCTGAATAAACTCGAATGAGAGGTTTTACTGCATCCGCCGCACTCACCGGAACTTGCACCAACGGATTATCACCTTTTCCGCTTTATATCAAACCAAATGAGTGGCGTAACCTTCGCCAATGGTGAAGAACCTCAAAAAAGGCCGACTAAATACGTCCACACACGACCAAACGTTTTTGGCGAATCGGCATCAATAAATTCGTCAAAATGCGGAATAGTTATTTACACCATAAAGGAGGTAAGTATTATTTACCAGTCGAGGATGATTTTGCGCCCGAGCGGAGCGAGGGCTGACAATAGAGTCCGAGACTAGTAAATTATACTTAACTGTTGTGTGGTATATAACATTTTATTTGTTCCCACAGTTCTTTATGGTTCATGAATTAAAGATTAGGTTTTATTTTTTGACATTTCTTAATCAATTCATTTTGACATCGAAATCTTGCAAAGTCGCTTTAGTTGTTTGGATTTTGTCATTTCTAAGGTGTTTATAAACAAACCCACATAAAAGTTGCAATTTTGCTGGTTTTGAATTATTATTTTTAAATGAGCGATTTTCAAATAGAAAGTGCAGCAAATGCTGCCTGCAAATTTTTGTTGTCCGAGAAGTCGAAGGTACGCTACGGACGAGGATATAAAAATTTCAAAGAATGGTGTCAGAACAAAAACACTGGTGTTTCTGACATGTCCCTGCTAGCATATTTCATGGTGAAGTCAAGAACTTTAAAGTCACCGTACCGGCAAGTTTGTGGAGTGAATACTCAATGATTATGTCAACTATTTTCATAGAAGAGGACTTGGATATATCAAAATACCCTATGCTGATACCATTTTTGAAACGTACGAATGACGGGTATACACCTAAAAAGTCAAACGTTTTTACAATAGAACAAGTCAACGATTTTCTCGTCCAGACACCCAATAACATATATTTGCTAATGAAGCTAGTGACGGTCTTAGGCATAGGCAGGAGCATGCCGTTCTGATGAGTTATGCAAACTTACTTTGGAAGTCAATTTCAAAAATTTCGATGACATTGTAGATACAATTCGATATTCTAAAAATTGTATGTCACGTACGTTTACAATTACTTCTCGTCTAGGTTCTGTTTCTCAACTAGAAATTCTCAAGAAATATATCAAGATTAGATTGTGTCGGAGTGGTTCAGTGGAATGAATCGTTTTATTTGGAACACATAACTGCAATTGTTTATTGATAAAACAAGAATTGTTATAAATGACTAATACAGAAATACAATATATCGAAAGTAGACGCGGCGTGTTTGAATGCTTGGAAAGAACTAACTAACTGGGTGGTCGGTCGGTCCTTGGTGCCCTCCGTACTTGCAGGTCAAGAAACTGTCCCTTCGGTTGTTTATTACTTTATTACTCTTTGGGTTGCTAAATATATTACATCTAGTCCATGCAATATCGTTAATATTCAACGACATTGTAGATACAATTCGATATTCTAAAAATTGTATGTCACGTACGTTTACAATTACTTCTCGTCTAGGTTCTGTTTCTCAACTAGAAATTCTCAAGAAATATATCAAGATTAGATTGGAAATTAAAACTGAAATTTCAGGCATTTTTATGCGCTATCAAGTAGGTAGATGTTACAACCAACCAGTCGACAAGAATACTTTTTCTATGGTTCCTAATAAGATTACACAGTTTTTGAAACTAGAACATCCTGAAACATATACAGGCCATTCATTTCGAAGAACATCGGCAACGTTACTGGCTAATACAGAAGTTGATTATTAACAATCAAGAGGCATGGTGGGTGGATATCAGCCACAATTGCAGAAAGTTATGTTGCTGACAGTTTAAGTAACAAAAATGAAATAGCCAACAGGATACTTTACAACGACACTTCAACTCCAGGTTCTAGTAGTCGTCCCATCATACTGTTTTAATGGATCAGTCAATATTGAGCTCCTGGTGGCTGAAATGGAGCGGTCAAATCATTTTGAGAAAAATGTGACAATTAGTAAACGCGAGGGGAATAATTATCTAGATTTTATAAATGTTATTAAATGTAATAACTGTACAATTACTATAAATATTCATTCATAATAATTAATAAAATGTTATGTTTATCAAATATTTCTAATTATTTGTTCATAAAATATGCATTTATAACTCGAAATCGCTTTTTCCGAGGGGTAAACTGCTGAGGCAGTTTTTGAACATGTCGCCAAGAAGTCGGGAAGAAATTGGAGGAAGTTATAAGGAAGTTGAGGAAGTTGAAAGGAATTTCAAATGAAAGGAATTCCGAAGGAAGTCGGGGAAGTTTTTAGGAATTCCAAGGAAGTTGAGGAAGTCTGGAGGAAGTTTGGAGGAAGTCGGGAAGTTGGAACCATTACCTTTTATAGAAAAATGCGGAGATTGTTAAACATTTATGTGGAGGAATTACGAAGCAGTGTAGAGAAGGTCCAAAGAAGTTTGAGGAAATATAGAGAATTATTTGTACAGAATTCAGGGAGCGGTCTACCGCTCGGCTTTTTCCCTAGGGAGGTAAGTTACCTTACTTACCTCCCGTTGTCCATAGCAACTTCCACTTCTACGGTAAAATCCACTTACCTCCTTAAGAACAACGTATTAAAGGTCTATTTATTATAGTGGGTCCAGATAAAATATATTAGTGATTAATTTGTTGTTATTGTCATTTTCAGTAAAACTTTATAATAAAAAAAAAACGTGTGAATTTATGGAGCAACCCTACACAAACCAATAAACAGCCAATGTTACACCGTTTACGATAGAAAATTCACATAACCACTGGCTGTGACGTCACCACATAATGACGTATCAGATACACGTTTATACGTACCAATGATACTACGGCTATGTAATCTACTCATCACTATTCTACGGGAGTAAGCATTGTCACTGTTTAACACTAAAACATGGATCGTATCTTTTTATACAAGAAATTGGAAATGATATCTTTAAACTCCTCACAGTACTATTTGGACAGTATTAATCAGTGACTCATCAACGGCTACGCTAGACACCCAGTACGTTAAGGAAGCAAGGAAGGACAAGCACCTTCTGTCCACTGACCGTTTCCGTTGTCCTGAACGCTGACAGCCAGCTGCCCGGTGTAGGCGTTGAATGTGGACGTCATCCCGTTGTTGCCCATGGTGGGCGACCTCGGCGCGGAAAGGGACAACTGGTTGTTGCGAGGCATGGAGTACAGGGCCTCCGCTAGGTCTGCTGCCCTTTTGAGTATGATCTCCTGTAAAAGACGATCGTGTTTGAGTGTACCCAATATAAACAAAATAATGTTTAAAACTTTTTTTAGTTGTTTTTTTTTGCAACTTTTGATAACCAAAGTTTGTTTCAGAGCCAGTAAATATCGTTGCCATGACAGCAGTTTTGTTTTCTTAAAGCTGATGGTGATGTCGCTATTCTAAATAATTAAGTATATAAGATACCCTTCCAACAAGGTGTTTTTTGCAATTTATGTAGGATGTTTCGTAAAACTTACACAGGTGGACTAGATTTTTCCCTATTCATTTTTTTAATTCTCTCTTTAAAACTTTTTAAGAAAAATCGCTTTTTTAAAAATCCACATACTAGATGTTCTATAAAATTGACCCAGGTCAGAATTACGGGTAGTTTTTTTTTCTTTTCACTTTTAACTTTGTCTTTATTTACTATAGTCTTTTAATGAAAATTTGAATATTTATTAACCAGATGTATTAAGGAGGTTTATCTGATTTGGAATTGGCAAACAAAATTATAACTAGTTTGAGTACCTAAGAGAGATATATTAATAAAATAATTGTTCACGATTTAGTACGAAGTCTTATGAGAATGCAGATTTTCTTGGTCTTTCCACTTAGAATGCGCAACAATTGACGAACAGTTTCCACAGCAACTTGTATAAATAGGAAACCGATATCTAGGGAATCGTATGATAGCTTGTAGAAATCGATTAGGTACTTGTAAGATACATAATTTATAATAATTCTTCACACTACTGTCGTTGACTAACTTATCCTCCATATGCGTGATAGCGGCAACACCGCGGTCTCGACGTAGCGTATTATTTGCAATTTGCAGGTGCCCAAGCAAATAGAACGATCGAACGCGAGCGAGCGAACGCCGAGGCGAGCGAGCCGGCCAAGTACAACGTTGACAAATCTAAAGGCTTACTACTTTAGTCACTAGCGAATGTAGAGAAACTCTCGTTAGACTTTACCGACTTTACCTCTGTACTTTATCTTTATCTCCGTACCCGATAAACCTCCTTAATTTATTTTTTTACTATTTCTGCCTTACCCACGTAGTCTTTGGAAGGAAAATTTTATATTTACTAACCAGATGCTTTTTTTGGAAGTTTGGAAAAATATTCTCGTCAAACTTTTATATACAGAGTGTTTAAATACCAAAGCAACCCGGAGCACGTCCCGAGGGCCGAAGGCCCGAGAGAAAGGTCAAACTCCTCGTCAGCGGAGTTTGCCTGCCTTTCTAGTTCTTTGTTAAAGTTTGTTATAAAAATAATCTGGACATAAGTACGTCCGTACGAGATAGAATTCCAAGAAGACCCCTGCGTCACTATCTTGGGATTAACCGCATTCGACACCCGAGGTAGAAAGACATTGGCGGCGTGGCGTTCATTAACTTTATTTAAGTATATAATATTACTACCTTTAAACAGTAGAGTAAAATCGCCTTGTTCTTTGCTAAATCTTACCTTTGGAAGTTTCTCAGGATCACCGGGATGCCTGGGTATGAGTTTCTGTAATCGTTGGAATCCATAGTCTATCGTAGGTTCGTTGAGCGCTGAAAATTCAAAACACCTATAAGAATAGAATTAAAAAGCACTTGAATAAAAAAGACAACTGTTAACAATATGAATTTAACAGGACTCTAGGCGTGGCTCAGCGACATAATTTAAATACATGTAAACAAAGAACGTACAGAAGCACGAACACAAAAAAAATAAAACAAATTTTTCTTAATTAATAACGAAGCACACTTACAAACGTAAACAAATCTTCCGGGGGCCCCTTTACAAAACTGTTTTGATTTATACGATAATGTCACCTCCACAACTCCTGGTATATGTCTGGGTGGGGTTTGGACGCGTATTGCATGCGGCGTTATCAGCTGGAATCATAAAGTTTCATATAATTTGCCTTATATTTATCACTAGAAGAATTTACATATACTAACTACATGTTAGTCATTAATTACATAGGAATTATAAAAATTATCTGTTTCGTGAGAAAGAAAAATAAATTATATACAGGGTGTTTCTGAACTAAATGCGTTCTTTGAAAATGCCACGAAAATTAGCAACTGTTATTAAGCAACTGATCACAACTGGTCTAAAACATTACGTTTTAAATTGAGAAAAAAAATGTCACATGAAGGTTTAAACAAATTTATTAAGCAACTGATCTCGACTGGTCTAAAACATTACGTTTTAAATTGAGAAAAAAAATGTCACTTGAAGGTTTAAACAAATTTAAAGTCGTCCCTGGTGCACCAGCTAACTGTACCTTTGATGTCGAAGCCGCAGTGCAAAAGCGTTGATGTCGGCTTTGCCGGTTTAAATATTGTGTTCGAAAATGCTTCAAACCTCGTTTAAAAGTAGGAATTTCTTACTGTCAGGTGGACATTCCCGATATCACGTAACCTTTGAATTGCCTTTTTCACTGTTCTATTGTAAGGTTGTCATCTGTTATGGTAACGGACCGTATACAAGCGACAAGTCTCATTTAAATTGTACTGACATTCTCTGTACATCAACACCATATCTGCTAGTTCTTGATCAGAAAACATTTTATACGCCAGCTAAGTAAAACTGTGCACCTTGTGCACGTGCACAACGCACGTGCACAAGGTGCACAGGATAGTCATTTAGACCATCAGTTGCTTAATAAAAGTTGCTCATTTTCGTGCACAATTTATATGTTTTAATATACATATTGCAAAAAGGTTTTATGCACTATCTTCTGCCTGTCGAATCTTTATTACCAAAGATGTTATAATTAAAAGGATATCTCGTCAGTTAAGATGTAAATCTTTAGCTTCAAAAATTTTGTATCTTAGCCGACAATATTACGATTAATTTCCGAATAAACATTAGCAAGTAGAGAGTGATTATCTTAAAACTAGGTAAAGATTTTTTTACTATTACTAAGCGATTTTTTGACGAAATCTTACCTCGCTCCACACCAGCATCGTCCCGAAGACGACCTGGAGCCCGTCGAAGAAGTTGTCCCCGACGATGATGACCGTTGATCCGCCCGCCGTCCACCCTTCGCTGGGGCTGATGGCTTTTATACAGGGTGTAGCTACGGGTAAGGGTGGGTAGAGGCCTGGAAATTGACCTGTACATCATATGATGTATCCTTAATAAGATTTTCCACAACGTGTTAGGGGTAAGGAGTATATAAAATTATAAATAAAATGTATCCCAAAAGAAATGCAAGGTTTCGTATGAGGAAAAAAGATGTTAATTAAATAGTTGACAAAGCTTTCACATGATTTTAAAGGGTAGATATACCAGAAGCAGCTGCTTTTTATACCGAATTGAAGCATGCACAGTGACAGAGTGGTAAGAATACACGGAATCACAATGATGTGAAACCTGTGGACATACCTTGTTTTATTGACATCAAACGTGAATTTGAAAGTTTTCTTACAAAATGTACTTTTCTGTTCCAAAGAATACATATTGAGATGAAATCATAGTATTGAGAGAAATTTAAAAAGTTAAATTAAAATTCTACTTGAATACAACGCGGTGAAGAGAAAGGTTGAAATAATTGTTATAAAACTAAAAACAATATTTGATTAAAAAAAAATTGTTAGTATTAAATAGGTATTACGAGTCATTAGCAGAGAGTCGGATTACTAGAACAGAATAAATTTCAAAGATTTAAGTATAATAGAGGACATGCCAAAGATATTATTGGAAAAACATAATTAAAATTAATTAGAAATCGCAAGTGACATATCATACTAAAGCTAAAATGGCATAGTTTTATTAAATAGTAGTGTATGAGGTAGAAAAATAAGTAGCAAGAAATATTAAGGTCTAAAGTAAAATTTAAATATCAATAAGATGAAAATGTCAGGTAAATGTCAAAAATAAAGTTGGATCCACAAGTAATAAAATATTACATATAAAAGTCAAATACGGGGCCATTCGGGGCGTTCCTTCTACCGAAAATTCCACATAATTTGCGCACAGTCTCATCTACACACTCAAATCTTGCGTTACTTTTGGGACACCCTACATGAATGATTTATCAAAATATAACTAATTTACCACAACCGGAACCTCAAATAAAATCATTATATTGCTGTTCTTCTCTTTTTATTTACTCATAGGGAGAGGGAGAAAGTTGAATTACTTAAATATGAACTTTTCTGTAATGGCAACGTTCAAACTATAGTACGTGGCACGTTGATAACAATGGGGGTTCGAATTAATAGATATTTATGGTACTAGTGTGTTACGGTATATATAAGTCACGCTGTGGCCAATTTTCCAAGTGACTTATAGTGCCATACAAAATTTTATCCAACACTTTTCATAAAATTTCGTTTTAATAATAAATAAAAAAACTTAAAATTTCAAGTTGTCAATGTCAGAAAGAGTAATTTAACGAAATTAATGTATTTTTAAATATTACAAAAGATGCTAATGTCAATCTAACTTGTGTCTGTAACCAAGGGTTGTAAGTAAACAACAATATTTTTTGAGTTGAAATCACGTTGAAATCCTAAAACCAAGATTGAAAAAATGGAAAATGTGGAAATTCCATCTGAAATTTTAGAAGAAGCTAATGCGGCTACTACAGGTATCATTCCAGAGAAATCAAAATCTATATACAACAAAGAACTGAAGGAATTTCAAGATTGGAAAATCAAAGAAGGGGTGAAAGGCGTAAATGAAGATGACTTGCTGGCTTATTTTTTCAATTTAAGTGAGAAATTAGCTCCACACACATTGTGGACTAAATATTCCATGTTGAAGTTAACTTTAACAAGAACATTGAAGTTTCTAAATTCGGAAGACTAGTGGCATTTCTAAAGTTTAAGCACAAACATTTTCAACCAAAAAAATCCAAGCTCTTAGAAAGAGAACAAATCGAACAATTTTTGAGTGAAACCCTAGATGAAGATCACCTTATGAATAAGGTAGGTTCTACTGAATAGTTTAAATGAGTTATATTTATTAAATTTGTTGTTTTTAGGTGGCGTTGGTATTACGAGTTTTTGGCGCTCGCCGTTCCGAGAAATTGACGCATCTAAGCATAGACAATATAGAGGACAAAGGGCAATACATCCACATCATGATTTCAAACACTAAACCGAACAAACCAAGAAGCTTCGCTGTGTTAAATAAAGGATTTTGTGTTAATCCAATTGAATTAATTAGAAAATATTCTAAGCTAAGTCCTCAAAATGTGCAGCATAAAAGGTTCTCTTGCAATTTTCAAAGGGCAAAATGCACACGTCAATGTGTTGGTATTAATAATCTATCAAAACTCCCTAATGTTGTTGCGCGATTTTTGGGATTGACAGATTCTAACTTATATACAGGGCATGGCTTGCATCGTGCATCTGCAGCTCTCTTGGCCGATGCGGGAGGGGATATTGCAACACTCAAACGCCACGGTGGATGAAAGTCATCTACAGTTGCAGAAGGTTATATAGAAGAGTCAATTTCCAGCAAAACTGATATTGCTAAAAAGATACAAGGGGTACAGTCTCCTGAAGCAAGCACAAGCAAAGGGGCAACCTGTTCTATAAATTTACCACAATCACAAAATGATTCCAATAATCATTTGGCATCAAATGATTCCAATGATTCCACAAAATGATTCCAATAATCATTTGGCATCAAATTACGGCTTTACCATAAATTTTAATGTTAATATTAATAAGTAGGTAGATTGTAAGTTTGTAGCATTTTGGGTTATTTGTTTATTTGTTGACTTACTGTTTTAAATTAGTTTTCTAATAGAAACTAGAAAAATAAACCAAACATTTGTCTTTTTATGATTTCTATAAGTCACTAGTCATAACTAGTCATAACTAGTCATAACTTACTAGTGACTTATGACTTGCAACTCACTAGTGACTTATAGACCACATTATTCCTTTAAAACTATAGTTGTTTGGTCTTCAAGGGAGAAGACAAATTCTAAGTAGCATGGAAAACTTTATTCTACTAATTTCGCTGGTAACACGAGACACAACCGAGCAGGAACTAGGCTTCAAGACTTCTGGTTCGTGCCTCGAAATGTTTTCGGTTTTATCCTTGTCCCCAGGTACCTACTTTTATTACCCTATCCTAATTAACCGGGTCATTGCCTACTCGGTTTGTGCTTATGTACCCTAATAAACAACAACTAATTTATGTTTACAACCTACATATTCTAATCTCATTTGCTAAATACATTTATTAGGGCAGGTACTAAATGTAATTTTAGCGTACCACTACAAAACCAAAGAAATTATAGCATCTTTATATACAAATGTTGGATAAAATTTTTTAAAAGATTGCAGAATAGTATTAAATGACAAAACACAAAATACTTTTTTAATGTAAACAAACCATTGTAGGGGATTACATACAATACAAAACATTTTCGGTTTCTGCTCGCAAATGTCCCCACGTTGTGTTTATACCACGATCTAGGGGACGCCCTGTATAAGTTCAGGCATTTTAATCCAATAAATCCGTTTTTTCCCGACGTCCCCGCAGAGACAAATCGCGCGCAGTCAGACGACCGGTAAACACGCCCGAGCAGCGACAAAATTCATCGCGAATTCCTCACCGGGGCAGATTAAGATAAAGGGAATGAAGTAGAACAAACTGAGATATTAAAGGAGTGAGCTCGGCTTGTTCCGGCAAGACCGGATAATATAGCACTTTCTCCGGGTTGAAAAACAGCCCCGGAAGACCGACATCTCGCGTGTCAGCCGGTAATAGAGAGAGAGAAAGTGAACGGAGGAAGATTAAAGGAAGGGGAGGGGGCGAGCGGCAGCCAGGGGAGTGGAGAAGGGGGCGAACTGAGTTGTTGAATAATGAAATAATTATTTCGGCAAATGCCTGCAGCGAAGGGAAGGAATTGATGTCTTTCAAGACGGAGTGTTTTAAATGTCTTGAAACTGGTTTTTATTAAGTATGTATACTTTGTTATTTCTGCAGGGGAATTAATTTTTTTAAATGTATTCTAGTATAGTCTTTCCGAAGTCAATTGAACATGTATAAAAACGCCTAGCAATAAAATTTAATGAGTTTCATAGGCGTCCCTAAAAAAGTTTTCTGCTAAAGGTAAGAAATAATAAAAATTTGTATACAGCGTGTTCCACTAGTGCGGGAAAGTCCAATATCTATGTTAAAATGAGGAATAAATGGATTTTTCTTTTTACAGTGTTGCCACATTTCTCGGAATGTACAAATTAAAAATATATTCAACTATACAGGGTGTTCCACTTTTCCTGGACAGACACCAACTTTGGTTTTTTAAATGAAAACACATTTTTTATATTTTTTTCGGATTCTACATCAAAAATAAAGGGTACTTTGTGTAGAATAGTTCTATTCAAATATTCACAGTGTTTGAGATATCTCGCTTGAAAGGTTTTTCTAGTCGATATTGGTTGCTTACATTTTCTGATACTGACAGGTTATACTAATAGCTACTAAGCCCATTTTTTATCAAATGTTTAGTAAGGATGATTCTTCCGAATCATCCAGATTTACAAAGATATCCTCGTACAAACTGTTTTGTAAAACTGAAGGAGAGGTTTGAAAGAACAACAAATACAAATTATGATAAGACAACAAGAACACACGCATGCAGTTTCCAAAATAGTAACATCGTGCATTTCTAACAAAAGTAATAAAGACCTAGTTAAATTAGTAATTAACAGGTAACCGCTCAAAATGTCTGCCATTTTTCTATAGGCATTGAGCAATTCTACGATGAAAATTGCTTGACACATTTCGCAGCATTGTCGGAGTTAGGGACAAAAAAGCATTTCTTATCTTTGCCCGAAAATCTTCTACATCTGTCGGAGGAGTTTCATACACCCTGTTTTTTATATAGCCTCATAAAAAAAATCAAGACAAGACAGATCTGGGGATCGGGGAGGTCATGGAATTGGCTACCTATCCACTTATCTGGATACAAATCATTTAAGTATTCTCTAACCTGAAACAGTTTTTCTATGAATTTACATAACTTACATAATGAGAAAATTTACCGCCAGTGTGGAATTTGCAGGGGCACCATCATGTTGGAATCACTGACTGTTTAAGTCATCCGGAGGAATATGTCCCTGCAATTGGAGCAAGTCGTTTTGT